TAATTTTTTAATTTTTTTTTTTTTTTTTTTTTATTTTTTTTTTTTTTTTTTTTTTGTTTTTTTTTTTTTTCAAAATGCATGCACAGAATTAAATGTTCCTAAAAAAAGTTAAGTATATCACATACATTTATTATAACCACTCTAATTAACTTACACAAATTTAAATTTATTTTATTTTAATTCATATTATAATAAAAAAAAAAAAAAAAAAAATGTTAAAAACAATAAAAATTAGTATTTAAAAAATTTCAACTCCTTGGAATTAATGATAAAATTTCTTCATCTTCATTTAAATTATTTTTAATAATATCATTAATTTTATTAACTGTTTCATTTTTCGTTTTTGATAATTCATAGAAATAATTGAGATTTCTGACTACTGAAGGAAAAGTATTTAAATAATTGTCCATAATAGCTTTTTCTAAAGTTTGAATAGATTTTTTTAAATCTGCATTATAAAAATGTGTTATTGCTAAATTGTTGCAATAAATTGAATAATCATTTACTGCATTATTATCTTCTTCTTCATTATTTAAGTATATTAGTAAAATTTCGTTTAATGCAATCTTATATTCTTCTAAATATAAATTTAAAAAATTATAATTCATTTTAATATGATTAAAATTTTTATTTTCAGATAGGTTACTAGCTAAATTAAAAGAATATTTAGCTGAATCAAAGCATCCAATAAGTAAAGATAATTTTCCTATTAAAGATATCGTATTTATATGATTAGGATCATAATATAATATCTTATCTTTTAACAGTTGTATTGCTTGTTCTATGTAATTTTTTTTTAATAATAAATCACATAATACATAACATGTTATAATTATATAATGAAAAAAAATGTTTTTTTTTCTTAAATAAACATCGTTACAATTTTCATTATTCTCTATTTTTTCATTACACATTTTAATAATATTTTCATAATGTAATATCAATAAATATAATCTATCAAAGGATGTAAAATATAAACTTAAAGTATACGGATAATAACAATTAACTAATCTTAATAAAAATGGTATCATAGATCCTTTTTTTTTTCTATATTTCGATGAAAAATTTTCAAATTTATAATTATCACTATCCAAGTTCCTTAATGAATTTAAATCATTTGTAAGTGATCTATAACAATGTAATCTTAAATTACAATAAACTTTTATAGTCATAAATATTATATATTCAAATGGTTCTTTTTTAAAATAGTTTAATATATCAGTAATAAAAGTTTCACATGTTTTTAATCTTTTTTTTTCAATATAACTTTTTGCAGTAATAAAATATTCTATAGCCCTTTTATTTATTTCTTCATTTAAGTTTATATTTCCTATAGTTATTTTGTCTTCTATTTCGTACATATATAATGTATGTTCATCCATCTTTTAAATAATAAAAAAATTTACACATTTATTAAAATGTATTTATTTTATATTTAATATATATAAATAATCACTTTTTTTTAAATATTCTTAATAAATTTTCAAACTTATCTACTTTCTTTTTTTTTTAATAAAGCTACACATATAAGATATCAGAATATACATTTTAAGGAATTCAGAAAAATACAAAGTGTGTTAACTTCCAATTACCTTTTTTATTAATTTTTTTTTCTTTATTTATTTTATTTCTAAAAATTTGTTTTCTCTTTTTTCTTCTTTTTTTCTTCTTACTTTTTTTTTTATTATTTGTGCAATAATCTTTTTTTTTTTTTTTTTTTTTTTTTTTTTTTTCTGCCTAAAAA